TTGACTTTGAGCCCTTTTACCATTTACATGTTATTTGGCAAGTTACTTCAATCCTTTGAGCCTGTTTCCTTACTTATCAATGCTTTAAAGCCCTAGCACCCAGAAAACACACAATAAAATATTATGATACTACTTTGGTAACAAAATTCATCCCGATGAAGTTCACATGTATTTATTTCCTTTTCCCTCTACACCAACATTAACCCTAACATAAGTCATTTTTACCACCAAGATTCAAACACTGCATTGACTCCATCAAGAGAGAAGTTCCTAAAAAAATTTAAAAAGAGAGACAAGTCATGTTTCCCACAGAACTTATGCTAAAACAACTGCTCATAAATATATATCGAGCAAGGTGTTTTCCTCAAATTAATAAAAAAATCTAGTTTGCACCTTCTATTTGTGTTTTCACAGGCGTTCTTTTACTTCCTCGGTACACAAGCAAAAAGTCTACAAAGCTGAATCTTGTGGTTACATCATGATAAAGATTGTGGTGTTACTACCAATTATTTCAATTTCATCTGTCAATAGCTTTTATTTAAAACTTTATTAAGGATGGGATTCTCATTCTTACGGCACTGTGACATTAGGAAACTAAATTACCAAAAGCTCTCTTTTATAAGGATTATAATAAACACTCACCTATCTGTAGCTTTCCCTTACATTTAAAATGTTTTTTCAACAAAGGATGAACCACCCTGAAAATTTATCATATTCAATCAACGTATTCTAAGTAGAAGCTATGGGCAAGACAATGTGCTAAGTATATGGGAGGACAAAGGGTAGTGTAACAGTGTCCTTACCCTCAAGGAGTTTACAATCTAATGAAGAAGCTAGATATTCACACACGTAAAGGAAAGAAAGATGCAGACGACTACAAGAATCAACAACAAAGAGATCACTTTCAGTTGGGGTGATCAGAAAATCCTTCCCAGCTACGTGGAATTTCAGGTGAACCCTTGGATAATGGGATTGTGACAGAATTTGCTAGAAAGAAAATGTGATGAGGGAAACAACTTTCGAGGACAAGAGCTTTGTTTTTCAGAGCTGCTGCCTAGCCATTTTACAGTATGATACCTGTAATCACACCCAGAGTCTGGACATTTAGATAAGGATTTGAGTTTAGGATGCCCACCACAAGTCCCTGCTTTGCTTTTCCCCGGGCACCTTTAAAAATAACCACTAGAGGTAAGCCCCCCAAATTACGGACCTCCACACCAATCACCTTATAAGTAATAGGTGTTTGCCATCCTAGTCTGTATCTCCTGTTCATGACCTGGGACAGAGCACTGCCCTTTCCCTGGCTCACCGGGCCCCATGGTTTCAGTTACCAGGGTCAACCACAGTCTGGAAGCAGATGATTCTCTTCCTCATGTACGGTCATAAGGTTACAATAGTAGCCTAATGCTACATCACAATGCCTAGGTCATTCATCTCACTTCAGCTCGTCACATAAGCATTTTATCATCTCATATCATTACAAGAAGGGTGAATATAGTATATGAAGATACTTTGAGAGAGACCACATTCACATAACTTTTATTACAGTATGTTGTTATAATTGTTTTATTTGTTGTTAATCTCTTACAAGGCCTAATTTCTAATTTCAACTGTATCACAGGCATGTACATATAGAAAAAACATAGTATATATAGGGTTTGGTACTACCCTCAATCTCAGGCATCCACTGATATCCTGGCATGTAAACCCCACAGATAACGGGGGACTACTGTACTTCCACTGTATGGGTATACTGAAACTGCACCTTCAACTGAAGTAACCCCTTGGGATTTCACTTCCCCAAAGTGGGAACTTGGATGCTGAGAGAGCTACCTGCCAACTACCTGGGTGGCTTGTGCCCCCTCATTCATCAGGTCATAACCTACATATTCTTAACTCAGTACACCCACTCTGGCTTCCCAACACAGAAAGCAAGCACAAGAAACCAGAAAACAGCATGAACAGCATGTGTAGAAGTTTTTTTAATTAACTTTTTATTATGAAAAATGTAAACATGTCAAAGTATACAGAATAAACCTCCAAGTACTCATCACTAAGCTTCAACAATTACCACCTCACGGCCAATCTTGCTTTAGAATTTACATATCTTATTATATGAAAATCCTGGGGCACCTGGCTGGCTCAGTCGGTGGAGCTTGTGACTCTTGATCTCAGGGTTGTGGGTTCGAGCCCCATGTTGGGTGCAGAGATTCTTAAAAATAAAATCTTTAAAAAAAAGGAGAGAGAGAGAGAGAAAAGAAAATTCTAAGGAACCTATTTTCATCCTTCTGACGTCTACTTTTATATTCTTCACTGACTCGATCGACTCGATCCTCAGACAATACCTCAGACTGTCATAACAGTCCCCACAAGGCTGATTTTCTAAAGGCAACATACAAATGAAGTACAAGTCTGTTAAAAAAAAAAAAAAAAAACAACTCCTATTTACACAAACCAAAGGAACAGTGACAAAGATATTGAAAAATGAGAGATAATCCAAAGCTCAGTTCACATGTACTTCTGGAATACCTTTGTCCACACTTATATTACAAGGAGAATGAAAACAATGATGAGAGAATTTGTGTCAAAACAAAATAAAGCAACACAGGTGAAGTATCTTGGACAAATCACTTGGCCTCCTGAGCCTAAGTTTCCTCCTCCATAAAACAGAGAATGATCACCTACCTCAGGGAAGGGTGGGAATTAAACCTGTACCTTACATGGATAATTACCTACGGTAACTATCAGAACCTAGAAAGCTGCCTGGTTTCCCAATCCTCTCTCCTCATACACCTCCCTCTCTCAAGATGATGCAAAAACTTTCTCCATCTCAAAACCTGCTAAAGGTGAGAGCCTAATAAGCATTCTGATTTCAAGGAGCTTCTCTAGCAAAAGGAGCTGAGATTGAAGTATTTCAGTAGGATAAATACTATAACCTACCAAACTTCACAAAGTAGTCCCACCTTAACTAACAGAGCCATCCAACATCACGTATGGATAGTGTGTGGCCAAACTAACTAGTAAAACCCTCTCATTTTCCCCACTTCTTGGCCAGTGTCTGTCTACTCCTTCAACCATCCACAGTCTCTATATGGCACAGTAAAAGCACAAGGGCAGCCATCAGGACTCTCAGCTGGGGCAGTCAGTGTTAAGAGCTCAAGATGAGTTAGTTAAGTTAGTTATGGATATGTGCATAAGAAAGCTCAAATCTTGTGTTCCATATTACCTGCTAAGGAGAGGCAGCTCACTGTTGCTCAAAACTATCCAATTAGTTAACACTTTTAAAAATACACTTGCAGTCACAACTGTTCACCAATGTTTTAATTCTTCTTTTAGTGTTACCTTTTTTCAGACTCTCACACTTATCTTCTTTTTGAGCACTGAAGTTCCCTTTTGAATTATGATCTTCCATCACCAATCCTCTTTCCATATGGGAAGACACAATGAGTTCCTCACTTACCTATCATAACCTAAACCACCACAAAGCATCCACTCCATTAAAGCCCTTTACCTAAAACCATTCTTTATTTTCACATATTACCCATTTTTTTGCTGTTCCCCTAACTCACATATCACCCATTTCTTTGCTGTTCCCGTAACTATAATGTAATAAAAAGCAACACTTTACAGTTTACCATGTGCTTTGTAAAGTTATTCTTTTACAACCTATGAAAAAAGGGCAATTCCCCTATTTAATAGGTAAGGGAAAGGGAATGGAGAACTTACTATCTTGCCCAGTTACAAAGTCAGTGGTGAACAGGACTTCCAAACAAAGCCTGCCAACTCCAAAAGCCATGCTCTTCCCACTCAATTATTCTCTTTTCTAACAAGGGAAAGCAGTACAATTCTGTCTCAAACCACGTTTGCTTCAAAGAGTAAACCATCTTCAATCTCTCTAGATTGCAACTAGATTGCAATCCCACACCTACCATCCCATTTCTTCCTTCCTCACCCCCCGGTTATTACTTCCTCCCCACTACCCAATTTCTACTCTTCAAGGAAACTATCATCATTCCTTCAACCCCTCCTGGAAATATTCCACCTCCACATGCTAAAGGGAAGCCTCTCACAGCCCTCTCCCCAAACACTGCACTTCCTTCTCAGGATACGTAAGTTCTCCCTCCATGAACTACACAGCACACTTCTCAGTCCTTAACAAGCTATTTAATAACTTTGGAAGTCCCACAAAAATGGACATAACTTGCAGATCTTACATCTCCATACCTGATCCAGGGCAGCAGGCCACTTTAAATTCTGAAGAAGAGTCCCAACCCTCACAAAGATTCTGCTCATGCCCCACTGCCACCAACGACTTCCTCTCCAGAACGTGGTTATCCAAACAGGATCCCCTTCCAACCTCTTCACAAGGGACTCCCCTCCATGGTTCCCAAGACGCTCCCTTCTTCCGCGGTTTTCCTTCGGTCACACCCGGGCCTCTGCCCACCCCACCAACTCTCCCTTCACTCGCCAGCCAGGTGCCAAGCAGCAGCTCCAGTTAGACGGCTCCTCCTCTTTCACAACTTCCAAGTTCAGCCTCTTATCACCTGTTTTTCCCACCAGCTTCCTCGCAGCCCAGTGGCCGACCCTTGCCCCGGCCCGCCTCTGCCCACCCTTCCAACCCTCCTGTCCAGGAACCACCCCCGCAAATCAGTCCCGGGGTGCCCACGAGATTCAACTTCCCATCCGTGGGCTTCCACCTTTGGGGTCATGCTCCCCTTCTCCATCACCTGCTCCGCCCATGACCAGGTGACATCTGCCGCGGCCGCGGCCGCCGCCTCCATCCCCCGTCTTGGACTCCGGGTCCCCGGCCACTGACCGCCTTCCACGAGCGCCAGCCGCCCCCTCTGGTGGGGACGAGGGGGGCGTGCACCCCCAACTCCCGCCCCCCCACCAACGCGCACCTGTTCCTCCTCCTCCTCCTCCCCCTCCCCCCCCCGGGCCGCGCCGGCGCCCCGACCCCCACCTGCGCGGCGCCCCGGCCTCCCAAGCTCCGCACTCACCACGAGTAGGTCTGCTCCGCCATGGCGCTGACTCTCGTGGGCTCCGCTGCAGGCTCTGGCCGGGCCCGGCGGCGGCGGCGGGGAACGAACGGGCGGCGGGCTCGCTCGGGCCGGGAGCGGAAGGCGCGGCCGCGGCCCGGCGCTCGCTCGCTGGCTCGCACGGCGGGCGGGCCGGGAAGGCGGCTGGCGGGGAGAGGCCGGGCTCCGAGGCTGCCCGCTCCCTGGGCCCCGGGGCGGGGCGGGCTCCGCTCTCGGCCTCCCTCACCGGCGGCGGCGGCGGCGGCTCCGCTGCGGCTCTAAACCCAACATGGCGGCGGCGGCGGCGGCGGCGCTGAGAACAAGGGGGCCCCGGGGCGGGCGAGCGGCGAGAGGGCCCCGCGCTCACTGCGCGCTGGGCCGCGGGAGCGCCGCGTTGGAGCGGCGGCGGCGGCGGCGGCCGAGGGACATGGCCGGCGGGCGGAGGCGGCGGCGGCTGAGGGGGGCGCTAGGCGGTGAGGCGAGGCTGCTCGGCTCACACCCGCTGAGGGGAGGAGAGGAGGGGGCGGGGGCCAGTCTTGGCCCCGCGCGGGTCACGTGCCCAAAACACGCTCACGTGACGCGCGCGCCCCGCCCCTCGCGCCGGGCCCTTGCGCTAGACGTCGGTTCGCTGGTTCGAGGCGACTGTTGCTCACCCAGCTTCTGGCGGTTGGGCCGCCTCCTGTCGCTTGGTGCCGCCTCCTCCCCACGCGGAGCGGTAGCCTCAGGCCCCCTCCCCTTCCCCTTTAAGGGGCTGCAGCCGCCAGCCAATCAGGAGCCCCGATGCGCGTCCGCTGGCTGCCACTCAGCTGTCAGCCGTCAATCAACAGTGCGCGGGCCGAGGGTCCCCCAAGTGTCAATCAACCTGTCAGTCCGCAGTCGGAGCACTGCATCCCTTGGTTCGTTTGTTCGTTGGTTCATTCATTCGTGTAGCAAATGTTCCATGCAGCCAACCTTTGTTGCGCCAGGCTCTGTGCCAGGTTCTCAGGGTGACAACTCGAATACCCCATACTTGCCTTCATTTAATCAATCAACAGATATTTATTGGGCACCAACCATGTATCAACTGATTCTGCTGGATCTCTGCCCTTCAAGAGCTTACATTCTAGAGGAAGAGACATAGCCCAGGCGACATATAGGTGAAGATAATTCCGGATGCTACGTTTCATGAAGACGATAAATCCAGGTAATGGGACAGAGTGTGTATGGATGGAGGTTACCTTTAGATAAGTTGGTCAAGGAAGGTCTAGCTGAGGAGATGACGTTTGAGTTGACACCTGAAGGTTGAGAAGGAGCTGGTCATGCAGGAGCAAAAAGCTCAGGGAACTGCCCATCAGCATGCCTGGAGGCAGGCACAAAGTAAACATAATAGAGCTAGATCAGCGACCAACAGAGTGAATCTGGGGCATAGGAGGAGAGGAGAGAAGTATTGAGCCTCTGGGCATTGGGGGATGCTTCTCCAGGAGTGGCTTACTAGGAGAAAAGGCATTCTATGAAGAGAGAACGGCGTGAGGCAAGGCCCAAAGATGTGAAGGCTTGGAGTGAACTTGGATCCAGGAGTGGGATAGATGATTTGTGTTGGGGAGTATTGAAAGAAGGGACTGATAAGGTGCACTGAAGCCAGGTTCTGAAGGGCTGAGCTAAGCCTCCTTGCCGGTTAATGTGTTCATGAACGAAAATGATCAGTGGAGCTCCAGGTTTGAGAAGCATGCTTGGGCAACAAACACACTAGCCCCCAGGGCCCCAGTCTCCAACAGGAGCAAAGCTCGCACACCTGAAACCAGCATATTCAAGCTCCTCTGCAGCTTGCCCAATTTCAGGCCGTGATCTAGCTCTGCTCCAGTTTCCCAGGGCCTGCCCAGGCTTACAGGGAACACCACACCCTGAATCTATCTCCAAATGGATCAGTTGGCCATTGCCCATGCATCTGCTGCTTGCCTGTTCCCCAAGGGGAACCCATTAATGAGAAAGCCAAGTACACTTTTCCTTCAGGAGCAATCTCTCCTTCTTCCTCCTTCCTCCACTGCCAGCTGCCAGGACAAGTCAGGTTCAACATGTTTCCTGAAGCTCCACTAGAGAGGCCTGGGAAAGGGCCTGCTGATAAGATCAAAGTCCCAAGGTTTGAGGCAGGGCCCTAAGAAAATACGAGACCACCAGGTGTCCTTCCTCTGACCATTGACAGAAAGATACCAGCTTGCAAATATCTGCCCAGCCATAAATAGCACTGGATGAAGGGATATCATGGGGAGATAGGAAGGCAGAGAGCCTAAATTCTTGCTGTTCATTTAGCTGTTACAGCTTTGCCAGGTGTTTTACAGAACGCCAATATCCCCTTGAATGTGACACACAGTCATTCTGAATCTCAAAGGAGCATGAGTGAGGCTCCAGGCCCCTCGGGGAAAGGCCAGAAGCCATTGGTATAAGTGGCTTTGAGAGGTGCAGAAGCTTCTTGTCTGGAAATCTAAGAACAAAACAGACCAGACATGTCACTAATGAGACAAAAAGAGACACAGAACCTTTGGGCAATTCATTTCGCTTCTAGCTCCCAGTGAGTCATTAACGGCAAAGCCAAGTGAAAAGTTGGTATCAGGTGGATGGGACACGAGGTGCCGACGAAAGAAAGTCGAGGCCTTCCCAGAAGCAATGGGACCATTCTTTGCACTGAGAAAAATATGGTGGAAAAAGGAGGGAGAAGAAGAAAGGTGGGAGAAGAGTTTGGGGTGAAGGTATGGGGTCAGAAATGAGAAGTTTTCTTCTCTCCATCGAAACCAGAGGCTCTCAAGTTGTCTCTTGGGTAAACATGTGAATGCAGATTGTATAAGAAACCAAAGCGTGTGACAGGGCTAGCAGCATGTCCAGGCCACAGAGACCCTGTGTATGTGGTCCTAGGAAGATGGAGCGTGAGCCCAGAATTAGCGGCTTGAGATCTCAGGCCAAGGTTGCCAAGATGTAGAAGGCACGTCCAAGGTCCTGGGCAGGATCTCTGCAGGCCAGACTGAAATAAATCTGAAGCCTGTGGCTTGGCTAGAGTCTGCTCCGCCTGGGGAACCTGGGGAGTGACTCTCAGTCCCCCTGCCAGCAGGGCTCAGCTCCAAGCTGGAGCCATCCCAGGTGTATCGATGCACCTCTGGGCCTCAGCTGGGTAGTCAGGTGTCCTTGGCAGGAGATAGATGCAGGCATTGGCTTCCCCCACAAGGGATGCCTGGCTTCTTCCCCACTCCCAGCCCCCGAAGGTGAGAGGGTTTTATGCAATGTTTGTTGAAAGAAGCAATGGAAGTTCCTCTAATTATCACCACGATAATTATAGGATTGCTTCTTCTACCAAACGTGTTCAAAAGAGACTTGGTGAGTCTCCCCACGACGCATCATCTGCCTTAGGCACAGACTCCTGGGAGCAGGCTTTTCGGGTCTGGCTGGGCTGAGTAGGCGCTCCTGAGATGGTCAAAGGCTTGGGTCTGACTGGTCACTGCCTGCTTCTCCAGCCCATTTTCACCTCTATATCCTCCACTCCCCCCCCAACACACACACACTTGCGTGCACACGTACACACACACTCTCTATTTACATTCCACAGTGACCAGCTTGCAGCTTTCCAGTGGGCTCCCATCTTTTTTGTTTCCAGATCTCTGACCAAGCCCAGAAGGCATTTCCATTTCTTCTTAACTGCTGCTCCTCATTTTGAGGGTTGGCTTCTATGTCACCTCCTCTGGCAGGGAAGTCTAACTTGACCAAACCTGGGCAAGGTTAGATACTCTTCCCTGGGACTCCCCCAGATCCCTGAATGTACATGTATGTAATGTGCATGTAACACTTAGCATGGTGAACTGTCCATGTCACTGCTTGTTTACTTGTCATTCTCTCCCTCTGGATTGGGACTGCCTCGGGGGAAGGAGCTGTGGCGTGTTGCCAATTACACTGTCAGTTCCCAGCCCACAACTCAGCTCAGGGTAGAAGCTCAAACGCTGTGGAATGAATGCTTGCGTGAGCAAGAGGGAAAACCAGGTTTCGAACCAGGACAACCGGTTTTGCCTGATATTCCCATGATTCTCTCCATGATCTCGTCCATATTCGGCATCCTGGCTGAGAAAGAGAATCCTTCAAGGCAGCTAAATCTCTGTTAGAGATGTTATGGGAAGACAGAAGATCGGAAGTATAGGTTTAGGTCTATGGTGAACTTATAAGGCATTGGCTCACCTACATTGTTTGGCCATGGGTCTTTAAAAAAAAAATCTTAATTTTTTTAGAGCAGTTTTAGGTTTATAGAAAAATTGATGAGAAAGTACCAAGGGTTCCCACATACTCCCTTCCCCCCTCAACATACAGTTTCCTTCATTATTTATATCTTGTATTAGCGTGGTACATTTGTTACAACTGATGGGCCAATAATGGTATGTCATTATTCACTAAAATCCACAATTTACATTAGGTTTCACTTTTTAAAAATCTTTTTTTAAAAAATAATCTCTACACCCAACATGGGATGAAGAGTTGCATGCTCTCCTGACTGAATGAGCCAGGCGTCCCTAGGTTTCCTTTTTTGTGTTCTACAATTCTGTGGGTTTTGGGTTGTTGTTTTTTTTTAAGATCTTATTTACTGTCAGAGAGAGAGAACGAGCACAAGCAGGGGGAGCGGCAGGCAGAGGGAGAAGCAGGCTCCTGGCTGAGCAAGGAGCCTGATGTGGTACGTGAGCATTTCAAGTCTCAAGTCTCCTGGGATCATGACCCATGCTAATTTCTAATTTAATTCTGGTGTGGTCAAAGAATATATTCCATAAGATTTTAGTCTTCTGAAATGTGTTAAAACTTGTTTATGGCCCAGGATATGGCTTATTTTGATGAATATTCTATGTGCACTTGAAAGGAGTTTGTAGGGGCACCTGGGGGGCTCAGTCATTAAGCGTCTGCCTTTGGCTCAGGTCATGATCCCAGGGTCCTGGGATCGAGCCCCGCATTGGGATCCCTGCTCTGCAAGCCTGCTTCTCCCTCTCTCTCTCTCTCTCTCTCTCTGTCAAATAAGTAAAAATCAAATCTTTAAAAAAAATTTGAAAAAAGAGAAGAGTTTGTATTCTATTATTTGAGATGTAATATTCTGTAAATTTCAATTAAGTCAAGATAGCTGATAATGTTCAGATCTTCTATGTCCTTACTCGTTTTTTTGTCTAGTAATTGATTTTTTTTGTATCAATTATTGAAAGGTATTAAAATCTCTGATTAAGGGGTGCCTGGGTGGCTTAGTCAGTTAAGCGTTTAACTCTTGGTTTCAGCTCAGGTTA